CTACAATACAGTGTAGCTAAATTGGCTACAATACAGTGTTGCTAAATTGGCTACAATACAGTGTTGCTAAATTAGTGACAATACAGTGTAGCTAAATTGGCTACAATACAGTGTTGCTAAATTATCTACAATACAGTATAGCTAAATTGGCTACAATACAGTGTTGCTAAATTATCTACAATACAGTGTAGCTAAATTGGCTACAATACAGTGTTGCTAAATTATCTACAATACAGTGTAGCTAAATTAGTCACAATACAGTGTAGCTAAATTATCTACAATACAGTGTAGCTAAATAAGGATATTGTGCAGTTATGTCATCTAAGTCATGTTAGGATCTGTCTTTCAGTAATTTCAGTTATGCTGAACTGCGGCGTTGTTTGACCACCCATCATGTCAACATTTTCAAAATATCTGTGAATGGTCTCTAATTCATACAAGTCCAGTAAAGTGGAAGAACACTTTTTTTCAGCACTGAGCTCTAATATATACAAATCCACAATCTGGCGGAAAAAGATAAACTCTTTTTCCTCTGTCTGATGTGGCAGCTAGAGACGTGTATTTATAGACAGGGGGTCAATTTATTTCTAGTTTGTTTTCATTTTGATCCTTCTTGTCTAAACATTAGAGACTTTTTAACAAATTGTTTATTTCCAGATTCACAAAACAAACTAATTACTTGGATGAGTGAAAACAGGGATAAATTTAGATCATAGGGTACTTTTAAACGCACCCTGGGGAGGGAGAGAGATGGTTGAACTATATGAATTCTGGAGGAGGGGTACCCAGGGCATCTATGCAAACACTTGTAGTATTTTAGGATTGAACTATTAATTTGCTAGGGGAGGAAGCTAATTTAATTGAATGGTTTTGGGAGGGGCACCCAGGGCATCTATAAACAAAGTGGACTGAACCATTTATCAGGGAGATTTATGTGTTTCCAACCTCGGTATTAAAATGGCATAAGCCTTTGTTGTACCATTTAGGTTTGTTAAGTTTTGTCATTTTCTGGGCGGAACACATAATTATTCACTGTGATTTGAACAGTGGAATCTACAAAATTGCTACTGTTCATTACCCTAGCTATGTGGAACCATTTTATTTTTATAATTTAAATATAAAAAATACAAAGAAGAAATTAATTATAGCTTAATACACCAACGCGGAATGTTAATTTCTCAATATATCAATTGTAAAAATCATTTTGAAATACCAATTTGCCATATATTGACTATGAAGAATTTATTATTACAGTTTTGGAATGGAACATGACGGTTCTGGCAACGATTGCGGAAAACCTGGCCACGAAAAAGCGAAGATAATGGCGGCCCAGTTGTCGCGCAATACAGACCCTTTCACCTGGTCATCTTGCAGTAAGAAATACATCACAAGGTTTTTAGAGTAAGTTAAAAGTGCTCTTTAAAATAAAACAAGAATAATGATATTGTGTTATGGAATCACCCCTCAGGTCAGGTGATGAGTGATGAAATATGAACAGAGTCATCAGTGTGTAAAATCAAAATTCATCAATTATTGTGTATTTGACAATATTGATATTCATGGTTCAAGCTATAAATGAATTCCGAGAGTGATGTGAGTGATATTGGTTAAAAATTCCTGATTGCACTGAATGTACTGAATGTACTGAATATCTTTTTGACCTCAGACCCTCATGCTTTTTGGCTTAGGAATATTTTGAATAAAAATTATGAGCAAATTTTGCAAAAATATATTTGAAATTGACTCTGAATGATTTCTGTGACAACTGACTGGTTTATTTTGCAGTTCAGGTAGTGGTCATTGCTTGACTAACCCACCATCCGTGAGGGACATAACACTACCCACTGCGATGTCGTTCCAAGTGCCCAGTGCTGATGAGCAATGTAAATTACAGCACGATGAAAAATCCAGACAGTGCAAATTTGGGGTGAGTTTTGTCTCTATTCACTAATAAAGGGCATTCATTTTGCAAGTCGGAAAATATTGTAACTATGAAATTATCAAAATATTTAGGGTAATTATCCAAAATTATCAATTCCCTGGTTATTAAAAATTAATGGGAGATATATTGGGCGGTTGTGCATGTCTAACAATAGCAATTTTCTGGGGTCTAAACTTGTAATCAAATAAGATTTGATAAATAAAAACAATTCTTTGATGTCTTGTATTAAAAATATTTTCTCCTCCATGCTTGTATGCTAATAGTTAGTCGCAGTTGTAAAAACAGATATGCCGCCATTTTACACGTCACAAGAAAAAGTTTTGAGAATTAGCAGTGTTTTGAATATCTGTTGTGAAATTAACAACAAGGGTACAAAACAATTTAGCACAATGTTATCATTCAAATAAATGGTATTAATACACAGCATAATTTTTTGTTTTTTAGTCAGTCTGCAAAGAATTGTGGTGTATCAGTAAAACCAATCGATGTGTTACAAACAGTATCCCAGCGGCGGAAGGCACAGAATGCACAATTGGTACCGATGAAAGAAGAGTAAGTTTGCCAAGGGTACTTAGATCCTGGGGTAGTTTTACCTTTTCACCACCAGTTCCCTCCCACAAATTCACAAAATAGTCCTGTTTTAGTTTGCAGTTTCCTTCAGAAGTTTGGGACAGAGATAGCCAAATTTTTTGAGTAAAAACTCAAATTTTGTCTGTCTCCAAAATTAGGATTCATACTGTTAAATATAAGAAAAAGTGCAGAATTATTTGGGCAAGAAAATCTGGTGGTGAAAAAAAAACAAATGCCTTGGCTTAATTATTTGCTAAGGGCTGCTTATGTAATCAAACAAAAATTACGTTGTACTAAAGTACAAAAAGTACGTTCAAGGTCTTCACTTTTTCATAGCATAACAACGATTTGCTCCCTCGCTTATTGTAATACCCTCAAATTGACAATGGTTGAGCCCCTATTTTACCAACTACTCTAAACAGTCTTTTTTGCTTCGCGTAATTATTTGCCTTAAATTACATTTTGGTGGTTGTCACTGTCGTATTCTGAGTTTTGGTGATAACGTTTTGGTTCAAATTCATGTGGCTATCGCCGAAAAAACTGAAAAAATCTTTCATCTAACATACAACTAACATACAGGAAGTCAAATTAGCATAACAATGCTTATATCTTTTGTGTGTTCATTGGGTTTTTAGTTCCCGTTCGGACGGTAGTTCGAAACGGGAAGTAGCGTTTTTGGTTGTGTGTGTGTGCGTGCGTGCGTGTGCAGTCATATTTCAGACATGCTTTGATGGATTCTCTTCATAAAGGTATACATATGCACATGAATTTGTTTTGTCATTAAATCATTTTTGACCGTTTGGCAGCTATTTTAGACCCCAAAATGTGCAGATTCTGATTAAGATTACATGCATCTAATACAAAGTTGTTTTTATGTTGTTAAATTAATGTCCTTAAAGTTCTATTATTATGTTGGTTTGTCAGAATGTTACCTTTATTTGTTTTTTGTTTGATATCTTGATTTGAAAATGATTGCAATAAAGATTATCAATATTTTTACTACATACCTGGACCCTGCCTTTCCCCTACATTGTACATTTGTATTATCGTTCAGGCAATGTGTTCCAGTGTTGCATCTTGGGAGAAGATTCGCTTAGGTGAGGTAAATGGTAACACACCCCGTGTTCGGGTCCATGTTTATGGATGCCTGTTGTCACTTCGCGATAATTAAAACTGAATAGTCTGAAGATCACTCAAATTATTTGGTAAGTACAGTGGAGTAATTTGTTTTTTTTTACTGAGTGTGGGTTTTTACCTTATTTAATTAATGCTTCCTGCAATGATATGTTTGCCTGCTCATTTGTCATTCAAGCTCCTTCAAGCCAGTTATCTATTTCAATTTGTGTTGGCTAAAAAAATATTTTCTTGCGTTTAACTGAAATATAAGTAGCTATGTTGATCGGGGCTAACTAATGGACAATGCATCTTCGCACTGCCCTACGCATGCAGTCACGGTTGTTTTGTATTCGATCGTCACAATAGCGACCATGCATTGGAAAATGACTGTTTTTGGACGTATTCAAGATAATCGTTCTGGTTTGATTATTACAATAAAAAAATCATTGATCCAACAGTATCACGTGATTACGATTTTGAGTGCCATTACGAGAGAAAACTGAATAACTTCATTCAAAATGCCCTGTCTGAGGAGGTACGTCCGCCATTTTGAGAGATTAGCCAGAATTTTACGTCATCGGTAGTGTAGAATATCATTTGTAAACGAAATATTGCTTCTTGACAACATGGAATAGTCATTTAAACCGTAAAATAGTAGTTTATGTTGATTGATCCCAGTCTAAAAGTTAATTTTTGCTATCCACCTCCAAAATGACTGAGTCGGGCGATCGTCGGTCCGTGTTATTGTCTACACCTCCCCCGGATACAGTCCGTGTATGCAGGACTAAAATATAAGATGATATATTTGTAAGCAACGATATATGAAATTTCGGGAATTGTATCGTTGCGAATCTACGAAGGTAATTTGTTTGATGCCCGTAGCTGGTGGTCTATGTATTAGTGCAATTGTATTTGATCACTGGCGCTCTCGTTTGTATCTTTTTTACCACTTATTGTTTACAAAAATAATAATTTTGTGTAACTCTGTGTTTATCTAGCTGCAATTTTTAAATGACGTGAACTAGCTACGTTAATATCGTGACGATCTTTGATAATTTGCGATCAAACACGGCGGGCCGCCATCTTTCAATTTGGGGAATGGAAAATATGAGTAACAATAACTGGGACAAAACTGAAACAGAAAAAGTGCATCTAAAATTCATTAAACAACTACTTGGGCTTAATAAATACACAGCGAATAGTGCATGTCGGGGTGAAATTGGAGCATTTCCATTGTTAACTGAAGTGAAAATCAATATGATTAAGTTCTGGTCCCGTGTCACAGACAAGTCACAAAATAATTATACAAAGATAGCGTTAAGCGATCAGACTTTGTCAAAAGCACAATGGGAAACATCAGTCAAAAATATCTTGAAAGATGTAGACCTCTCTAAAACATCACAGCTATCACATCAAAATATTAAGGAAATTAGCAGCACTATTACATAACATACTGGAGAGAGAATATGACAAATGAAAAAACAAAACTGAGAACATACATTAAAATTAATTACAATCTGGAAAATTACATTAATGTTTTGGATAATAATCAAAGAATATCAATGGCTAGATTCAGGACAAGTAGTCACAATCTAGCCATTGAAAAAGGCAGACATACCAATCCAAAAACCCCATTAGAAAATAGAATTAGTAAACAATGCCCATTACAGGAATTTGAAGACGAATTGCACTTTCTTGTATTTTGCCCACGATATCAAACAGATAGAAATGATTTTATTTCCAATATTTTATTCCCCAAAGAAATCATTACCAACCTGCAAAAATTCACATATTTAATGAAAAGTAATGACAGAAATATAATAAAACTTTTAGGGGAATTTTTACATAAATCATTTATTTTAAGAAATGAGCTTTCTTTGGATATAATACCTTGACTCTTTTTTTCTATTTTTTTTTTTTTTTTACGTTACCATACATTGATATTATTTCAATCACTTATATATTTATTGCTGTAAACCAATAGAACATTTGTAATTCTAAGGATGCAATAAAGTTATTATTATTACCGGGTATTATTATTATTATTATATACAGTAGGCCACCTTGTCACAGCGCCATCTACGTCCAAGGTCACTTATTTGAATCCATTTGTTTAAATGTGCATTTGAGAGAACTGAATTATTGTTGCAAGGTTTTGGTGGATTAATGTGAACTGTATATTGTTTGTAAACAAAATTTGTATTTTTTTCACAGGATCTGGATTTGAAAGACAATTTGGATGGATTATATCATGCAACAATACCACATAGTGCTGCAATATACACAAATCTATTACAGTAGATTTGCTGACTTTAATTACAAATCTTCATTTATGACACATTTATTTTATTATAAAAAATATAAATATAGAACTATGTATTTAAACT